CCGGAACAGAATACGCGTCGTGTACATGCGTAGGTGCGGGAAGCCATCGAGGCCTTCATGTCCAAGTCCGCGGCGGGCGGTGGGCCCAAGCTTACCGCTAAACCCGGCCCCGCAGGGCGTTGGAGCCGTTGGCGGCGGCGGCGGCCAGCAGGCGGCCCCAGGGAACACCGTCACCGCCGCAGCCTCCAACGGGAACACCCCCCGCTCTGCGGCGGGTACGGCTGGAGGACCGGCACCGTCGGCGGGCGTAGCTGCCGCCGGCGCGGGAAAGTCCCCGGCGGGGGCGGGGAGCGGGGAGGCCGCCGGGGCGGCGGCAGCGGGGGCGGCGGCGGTGGCGGCGGCAGCGACCCCGCCGTCGTCCCAAAAGTCGGGCAAGGGCGGGGGAAAGAAGAAGAACCGCAAGAAGAAGTGAAGTGAATAGAAACACGGAGTGGCATTCACGCACGTTTGGGTTCGGCTTGGTTTTGAATGAGATCTGACTGGTTTGTGTCGGCGGGTCGATTTGGGACAGCTAGGTGGTATTACCCTACGAGGAGTTGGATCACATTGCCCGGAGAATTTTTTTCTTTCTAGTTCTGGTGAGGTTTTGGGTCGAGCTGAGGCACCAGCTACTGCTGTCGCCCCCTTGTTCGGATCATTCTGTGTGCTACGACGTATGCATAGAGGGTACGTTTTGCACGATCATGCATCGGCCGTATGAGCGATATTTTTGTCTTTTTTATCTCTCGGCAGCTACTGTTGTCGTGCGACACTGGAGCTGAAGGGAGGTCCAGAGGTGAAAACAAAGCAGAAACGGGCGGCGGACGGCTGGGGACAGGCCCGTCGCGCCCCTCCAGCTTCCGTTGTAGCCATGTGATCTTGAACGCACCGGGCGGTCGACCTTTTAAACCAAGCTTGCGCTCTGGGTGTGTTTCTTTCGTGGGATGATGGTGGAGCCGCGGGGGCGAGGGGGGGGGGGGGGGAAGCTGGTGGAAGAGGCGGTCGCTTGCGAATGGACGTATTTTGCACTTTGTAAGTGACCCTTTGCTCGGCCGGGTCTAAGCGCCAGACTGATCTGCATGGGTCAGTTCGAGGGCGATCGACCCTAGTGACCCGGTTAGGGTTGGGCCAGTTGGCAGGGGTGTGGTGTGTGGTTGTGGTGCGTGCCGCCCCCGCCGCGTGTAGCGTACATGTTGCGCTGACTCACGTTTGCCTTTCATCTCGGAGCGAGCTTTGCGGTCCAGCGGGCGGCGCGCCGAAAAGCTAAAAAAGGCGAAGGCGATTACGCGCTGAGGCTGGATCTGAGACTTACAGAGCGAGTTTGGGGTGAATTGCTCGAGCTTTCGTGTGCCGCCGGTAGGAGCAAGAAGGCCGGCCTTGTCTAGCTGCTCATGCTCCTGGTTTTGGCTGCTATGAAAGTAGTCTTGAGTTCCGCTCGACCGACATGCGATGTGAGGACGAAGACAGCGCGGTGTTTTTTTTGTGTGTATTTCCATTGATTGTACCAGTTTTTTTTTGCCGCGCCGAAAAGTCTTGGCGCGTCTACTACTTTCTGCCATGCTTCCGTGGAAAAAGTAGTAAACTTCTAGAGGCCGCTCGTGCATGCGTATTTTTTGGGGGGGGGGGCATAACGGCTGGGGAAGGGGGGGGGGGGGGGGGGCCCTTTTTTTTTTTTTGGACCCCCCGGGGGCTTGGCCCCCCCGAAAAAGGGGAAAAAAGGGGTTTTCCTTTTTTGGGAAAACCGGGGAAACGACCCAAAGGCCCCCAAGAAAAATTTTGGAAAGGGGGGGGGGGCGGGGGGGACAAAAAAAAGGTGGGTTGGGGGAATTTTCCCCCTTCGAAAAAAAAAAAGGGGAAATTTTAATTTTTGGGGGGGAAAGGACAAACCCCATTTTAACAAATTTTTTTGGGGGAAAAAAAAACACCCCCCTTTTTTTTTTTTGGGGGG